GTCCCTAACTCGCCAAACCACACATGTGTAGCGATCAATCTCCCCAAAGCTTCAACCCCAGACCTTGGATAGCGCCGGATGCGACGTTTGACAGATTTCGTACGTTCTTGAGAATTGGTATTCTCTAGACTGGGTGACCATGTTACAATATTATGGTCTGAGGACCCTAAGGGCGCTAAAACTTGGGGAGGTTCATACAGGTTTGGTTGGTTCGTAATTATCAGATCCAAAATGGCTGTTCCTCTTGTAGGGACTTTGACAACTTGCTTCAGGTTATGACTTGATAATATATTCGATATATCGAAATCGCTAAAATCACCAATAAGGACTAGACTACAGTTGGGATGTTGGTTGCGTAATGAATCTATTGTTAAAACTAAGTATTCATTAAGTTAGCGGTGGTTTTCTACAGGTAAACCAGGGGGATGATAGACTATGCACACTGCAATACCAGAGAGCGGTCTGGGAAGGCGGGTAGGGCGAAGCCACAGTCACAGACATTCTAAATTTTCATGTTCCAGGTCCAACCTACGTTTGGCATAGGTGCCCTGTGGTAGATAAACGCAAATTCCTCCTCCACGACGGCTAAAACGGTCTTTACGAAAAATGTTATATCCGTTTATCGAAACGAGTCCATCCTCGATGTCACTGTTCAACCACGATTCAGTGACCGCCACTACACTGGGTTAGCGACAACTTAAAAACATGGTGAGTTCATCTATTTTTGGAAGCAGCGATCTGGCATTAATACAGCAGAAATTAGGTAAATGTGACTTTGAGGACTTTGTAATACAGGTATTAGGTTTGTGTATGACAATATAGAGCGTTTGCACTCGTTCGCCAGGGACCAACTCAACAAAAGCAATGGCGGCCATGTTGGTGTTCCAGGCAAAAGTGTCTAATTAATTTTTTTATTGAATTGATACACCACATGGCGGCTGTGACGTCATGTGCAAAACGCTCTATAATTCGACAGTACTTTGTTTCCTCAAAAACAAGACGAGCGGCAGCATTTTGATTTGAATTGATTTAATAATTACTGACTTTGTAACCCGAAAGTTTAAACTACACTGCATAATTACTACATATTTAAGAGCATTTACATTTCTAAAAACTCACCTATTTACTCATTTGTTAAACTTAAAATACTTTGAGGAAAAACGAATTCTTAGGACGTGCAGTTCTACAAATATAATTATGATATTTACGCATTGGTCTTAGATCGTATCCAGATAAAATTATTTGTGGTAAAATAATTTTTATCGGCGATCCCTCAGCGACGTGATGTTGGTCGTGATCAAGTGCTTTGTCATTCTTTTGTGATGGAAGGATGATTCCCAATGCACATTTTTGAATTTTTTCAATATCTTCACATAAATATTATTGCATATTATAATGCCAGACCTGGCACTCGTACTCCAAAACTTGTCCAATTATAGTAGTCCATAGAGTAATCAATGGGTCTATACACGCGATAGACCTTTTCAGCAGCCTTAGCATATCGAGCCTCTTGCCAGCTTTTTAAACTATGTTGCGTATATGCTCATTCCACTTCATGTTGCCTTGAACTGTGAGGCCAAGGATACGGGCAGAATTCACTCGTTCAATATGAACTTTATCCACTGTTAAATTAAAGGAGGAAAGCAATGCTTATTTTTTGCAAAATCAATAACCAGCTCTTTGTATTTTCCGATATTTAGTTTCATATTATTACTCGTAGTCCAATTATCGATGCATGCAATGAACTAGATCTTGAAGATTGCTGTTACAATCTGGGCCGTTAATGGTTTCCGTAGTGGTAGTATTGTCAACGCATTTCCATCGGTCTTTCCAATCGGCGAGATCATTTATCATGATTAGGAAGACGATTGGGCCTAAAACTGTTCACTGGGGTACTTCACCGTTGAGGATTTGCCATTCTGACACACAATGGGGCATTCTGACCCGTTGGCTTCGCCGAGTAAGAAAACTTTTTATCCAGTTTGTTATGATTGATGCTGTTAATATTGCTTTATTATTCTCTAGAACCTAAGTAACATACATAATAAGAACCTACTGTATTTATACTGTTTACATGCATGATTAGCATAAATGTTAATATAACCTATCAACACCTTTCCCCTTACAAAAAAGTCTTTTTTTTACACATTTTTTAAAAAAAAAAAAAAAAAATCTAAACAATAATATGAAGTTCAAATAAATGTTCTTATAAAGAAAAGTACTAAGTTGGGATTAATGTTTCTTAAGGATTAAATGTTACCGTATATAATCTTTAAGTCTTACTGGCGATTTACGAATTCTTGTCGAACAACGTAGAGGTGCTGGCTGTATTTCCACTACTGGAGATGGTAGCGCCGTTACTTGTTCCTCGGTTGTTTCCGTAGGTAATGCTAATGATGATGGTAAGGTTTCGTCTGGGAGGGATACTATTTCTAATTCTAAGTCGTCTGGGAGGGATACTATTTCTAAGTTCGTTTTGTTGAAAGCCTGCGGTGTGACATCAGCTTTTCGGAGTTGTTTATGGTTTCGTTGAATTAGTCCAACAGCCGTATTCACGACACACGACGGATGGCCACGATTTTTTACGACTTCTCCATATATCCATGGCTTGTGTTTATTTTTCGGATTTGGTTTCACGAAGACTTGGTCATTTCGCGAGAACGATTTCAAAGGTTTGGGTGATGCTCTTTTATCATACAGTTGTTTGGACCGGACTCTACGCGACATTATATCATTCACAACTTCAGTGCTGGAAACAGGATGTGGTTTAAGTTGTTGAGGTACTGACACAGTGATATCTCGTAGTTTCCGATTCATAAGCCTCTGAGCAGGTGAAACCTTGTGGCCCTGTTGTGGAGTGTTCCTGTATGCCAGCAATGCCAAGTAGGGATCTTCATGCCGCGCTTTCTTTAGAATATTTTTCGCCACCTTTACCGCAGATTCTGCCTTTCCGTTGCCTTTGCTATGATAAGGCGACGACTTAACTGGTTTGAATCCATATTCACTGGCAAATTGGCTGTACTCATGACTACTGAACTGTGGACCATTGTCACTGACGCATGCACGAGGAATTCCTGCTCTGGCAAAGTTCTTTTTCATAGCATTGATGACTGCCGTTGCTGAAGTATTCTTTAGCCAATCAATTTCTATGAAATCACTGTAATGATCAACAGTTACCAAGTACGTTTTACCATCCAATTGAAATAGATCAACACTTATTCGTTCCCATGGAAGTGTGGGAATCTCCTGAGATTTCATCGGTTCGGTTGGTCGTTCTGATTTATACTGTGCACACAGACCACATGACAAGCAGGTTTGGCGTATTGCCGCTGACATACCTGGCCAGAATAGTGTTTCTCGGGCTCTCCTTATACTGCTGTCTGCACCTTGATGAGCTTTGTGAATCTTGTTTAACATCTCTTGTCTCATTGATGGCGGGATGATTACTTGATGAGACTTCAATAGTACACCATTGTCAATAGAAATCTCGTCTCTGAAAGACCAATATGGCCGAAGGTCTGCAGGTAGCGATGCTCTATCTAACGGCCATCCTATTAGTACTGTTTCATAAAGTGATTTCAATGTTGCGTCGCTTGATACTTCTTCTTTTAGTCGCTCCAAGGTGACATTAGACAAGTTAGGTGGTTTAAGGTCCATCGATGATAATTCCATGCGAAACACTTCTTCTTCACTTGTCCCCATTGCCGTGGGATTGGTTAAAGCTGCTCGAGACAAAGTATCTGCTATATACATCTCCTTCCCTTTTTTGTACTGGACCGAGAAATGGTACTGTTGCAACTTGAGCATCATGCGCTGAAGTCGTCTAGGTGCTTTACTTAACGGTTTTCGGAAGATTGTTTCCAGTGGCTGATGATCTGTGTGAACGAGGATGTTTTTCTTCCCGTAGAGGTATTGGTGCCATTTGCTCATACAAGTAACGATGGCCAGACACTCCTTCTCAATCTGCGCGTAGTTTCTTTCAGTTGAATCAAGAGTATGCGACGTAAAACACACTGGCTTCCCGTTCTGAAGTAAAACCCCACCAATTGCTTCATCTGAAGCATCTACTTGCAAGGTTACAGGTAGCGTGACATCGTAGTACTGCAGAATAGTGCTGGATGCAATGAGATCTTTCGCCGAGTTGAAAGCGCTTTCGTGAACATCTGTCCATATAAATTCTACGTTGATTCTAGTTAGATCTCGCAATGGTAAGACAATCTTACTCAGTTTTGGGCAAAACTTCGACAGGTATTGACACATTCCCAAGAAACGTTGAACTCCATTTCTGTCGACAGGCTTTGGCATCTCTTGTATAGCGATCACTTTGGATGGGTCAGGGGCAACTCCTTTGTCGGTGAGGATGTGTCCCATGAAAGAGACCGAAGTTGCTTTGAATTGGATTTTCTTGGCTGATAATCGCAGGTCACGTTCGCTACATCGGTCCAGTAATGCAATTAAGTTCTTATCGTGATCTTTACTTGCTTGTTCGTCTGTATCTCCACATCCAAAAATGCAAATGTCATCAGCGATGTTTATGACACCCTCCAAGCCCTCCAGAAATTCTCGCTGTCTTCGTTGGTATTCTTCCGGACCAGATGAGATTCCAAATGGCATGCGCAGATATCTATAGCGTCCATTTGGGCCTTGGAATGTTGTAAGTAAAGAGGAGAGTTCATCTAAAACTACGTTGTGGAACGCCTCCGACACGTCAACAATTGTAAACACTTTCGCTTTAGTAAGAAATGGAAGCTTTTCTTCGATTGTTGGAATAGTGTAGATTGGACGCTTTATTGCTTTATTTATTGTCTGACTTGGATCAATGCATATTCGGAGTTTTCCATTAGGCTTTTCTTTTATCAACATGTTCGATAACCAGTTCGTTGGTTGTGTGACTGGAACTATAACACGTTCTTCGCAGAGCTTCTCCAATGCTTCATTAACTCTCTGTACCTTTGCAACGGGAATACGTCGTCGAGGAGCATGTACTGGTCGAATGTCGGGATCCATCTCGATATGCATGGGTGCACCCAACGGATTTCCTCTTCCTGGTTGGAATACTTTATCATAATGCTCTAGAACAAATTCTTTTGTTAACTCCCCCAATTGTGGAATTTTGCTGGACTTGTGAAGGGCTTGGGCTCTTTGACGCACACTTTCTTGACCCTGGATGTTGCTTGCTGGACTTTGGGCATTGCACTCTGAATTCTGATGATTGAGCTGTTCATTCTGGATTTTCTGATTATGCACATTTGAATTCTTGTCCGTTTTTACTTCATTCACGGAATGAATCTCATCTGCATGAATATCCAAATATCCCAGGATCTCTGCGTCTCGACCACTCAACAATGGCGGCTTTCCACGAGGTACGTCGACTACCAGGAAATCAAGTAGATGCAATTTTCCTTTCCTTTCGCAGCAGAAAGTCACTTTGCCCTTTGGTTTTATCCATTGATCTCCATACGTCTGGATCGCAGCTTTGGTTTTCTCAATTTTAATGTTCGGGAAACGTTGATGTGAATGTTCACAGGGATAGTATTACACGTTGACGCTGAATCGATTTGTGCTTTGACAACCTTTGATCGATTGGTTTCGACAACGGTTACATGTGCGAAGAATTTTCGTCCATTTGCATTTTCTTGTTTGTTCATATCGTGATCTGTCATGAACAATTCTTCATTTACATAATTATCTTCGACTTCAACTTGATTTCCATATTGTTGTTGTTGCAGTTGCATGTATGGTTTTCGACTCTCGACGCTTCCAGGGACGTTTCCAGCGTTTCTACAAGCTCTGGCAAAATGTCCGAGTGTGCCACATTTGTTGCATCTTTTCGAATACGCTGGACAGAATCTCTGACGGGGTTGCTTATGTTGGCCACTACACCAAAAACACGGGTCACGGTTCGATTGCTTTTGTTTCGTATTATTGTTATAATTGACTTGTTCATACACTTGTGTTTCTCTGGCCGTTTTCATGAGTTGATTTGTCGCTGTCGTTGCTTCTTTAGCAACTTCGGCAACTTCTGGCAGGGTAACCTTTGCTCGTTCACCATCCTTATGTTTGTGACCTTTACCGATGAGCTTAACACGGAGTTGTTCTGATGCTAAGCCTGATATGAACTGATCTCGCATGAGTTCGTCTTCAAAACTCTCGTATTCGCACTGAGCACTCTGATTTCGTTAACGGGACTCCCATGAACTTATCGATTCAGCGTCTTGTTGCAGTAAGCGAAGAAACTTTTGCCGTTCCCCCGAGAATCCAATACTTGCGCCGTAATATTCTCGCAATGCTTGAAGTACTGAATGAGGCTTCTTTTGCTCTGCTTCGCTAAGACCTAAGCTGTATTTGTATACAGTTCTTGCTGATGGTGTAAGACGCGCTCAAAGGCAAGCTATTACTTTGTCAGTTTTGATCCATCTTTCTTCTTCGGTTGACTTTGACGGATCATACCAATTATTTAGCGTACAGTAATCTTTTAAATCTTCTTCAAAGATCTCCATGTCGCACTTGTCGTCTCCTGTACTTTTGAATATTGGAAATGGCAAGTTCGTAGCCATTACTTAATGTTAAGTTGCTCTTTGTACCGAGATGTTAGACGTGTATATTTGTCTAAAACCCACTAGCTGCCACCATGTTAATATTGCTTTATTATTCTCTAGAACCTAAGTAACATACATAATAAGAACCTACTGTATTTATACAGTTTACATGCATGATTAGCATAAATGTTAATATAACCTATCAACAATGCAACGTCCATATCGGATAATTTACCGAGTGGGATGTTATGATCAATATGATCAAAATCTTTGGAGAAGTCCATTAAAAAAATTCTCACAGCGTTTTTAGGCACATCAGGCCTTATTTTGGGACAGCTAGAATGACGTCGGCTTTTTTCCATACTATGGCAACAGACTCCAGTTGAAGGGAGGCGTTGAAGTTTGAAGTAACAGAAGGAGCCAACAGGTGCGCATAATCTTTTAGAACCCAATTCGGTATTTCATCTGGGCCAGCTGCTTTCGAAGATGATATTGAAGATAATTTATAATATATATCTTCTTCCTTAATGATGTACTCGGTTAAAATAGCAGTGTAATCGCTTTGTGATTGGCTATCAGGGAAAGGGATGGGGTTAAGAGGAGGAATATTTCGGGTAACAGATACGAAAATCTTGTTAATGTTTTCAGCAAGTTGCTTTCCAAAGACGACTTGGTCTCTTAGGACAAGACTTGAAAAAGATTTTTTCTTAGGGTAGCCAGCTATTTGTTTTACAGTGTCCCATTATCCCTTAGGGTCAGGATTACGTTTCAAATGTTCCAATTTATGTTCCAGGAATGCAGATTTAAGTTTCTTACTTTCTCGATTAGCACGATTACGTAGTCGACAGTACAATTTGTCATTTGTCTGAAAAAATGCTTCTGCTTTTAATAAGTTACACTTTACATATGTTCTTGTAAAAACAATTGTTTGAAATGTTAGTGAATAAATGACTTAAGGAACTTTACTTTATCTTAAATAGTAGGAAAGTACCTATGTGTGCTATAAGAACAAAATATTGATAACTATTTGTGACGCTTCTAAGAGGTAGGATGGGGTGAAGGGGTCTCCAGAGAACAAGATCGAT